TGTGGCTATACAAAGTCGTATTCCCATTTCCCAGCCCAAATTTTGACTAAATCATCCCATTGTCCTAGAGCACAAATCCCATCATCTCAATGGCTGTCCTGCTCAAATCTTAATCCCATTCCCATTTTCTATTGTTTTTTCGCTGACGAATCCCAGTCCCAGTGCATGAAATTCCATTTTCTCACCCAAAAATAAGCAAATCCCAGTTCCCATTTTATCCCTTCAGGATCCTCCTTATAGCCATAGTTTGTGGCTATAAAGTACATCTGTTTTCGGCATACGATATAGCCAGGGTTTGTGGCTATAAAGTACACCTTTTTTTCGGTATACCTTATAGCCAAGGTTTGTGGCTATACAGCACACTTGTTTTCAGCATACCTTATAGCCAAGGTTTGTGGCTATACAGTACACTTGTTTTCAGCATACCTTATAGCCAAGGTTTGTGGCTATACAGCACACTTGTTTTCAGCATACCTTATAGCCAAGGTTTGTGGCTATACAGTACACTTGTTTTCAGCATACCTTATAGCCAAGGTTTGTGGCTATAAAGTACGCTTGTTTTCAACATACTAGCCAAGGTTTGTGGTTATACAGTACATTTGTTTTCAGCATACCTTATAGCCAAGGTTTGTGGCTATAAAGTACGCTTATTTTCAACATACTAGCCAAGGTTTGTGGTTATACAGTATGCTCGTTTTCAGCATACCTTATAGCCAAGGTTTGTGGCTATACAGTACACTTGTTTTCAGCATACCTTATAGCCAAGGTTTGTGGCTATACAGTACACTTGTTTTCAGCATACCTTATAGCCAAGGTTTGTGGCTATACAGTACACTTGTTTTCAGCATACCTTATAGCCAAGGTTTGTGGCTATACAGTCCACTTGTTTTCAACATACCTTATAGTCAAGGTTTGTGGCTATACAGTACACTTGTTTTCAACATACCTTATAGCCAAGGTTTGTGGCTATACAGTACACTTGTTTTCAGCATACCTTATAGCCAAGGTTTGTGGCTATACAGTACACTTGTTTTCAGCATACCTTATAGCCAAGGTTTGTGGCTATAAAGTGCGCATGTTGTAAGATTTTGAGCAGCAAATTTTAGCTTTGAGGATGCCTCGTAAAGTATAATATACAGTATACTTTACCAAAACAACTACCGTACCTAACGCTTGTGTGAACTCGGGATAAAGATTCGCCGTAAACAAAGGATCCGGTAGCTCCCTGAAATATTGTTTTAATGTCCCTGCGACAGCGTGAATGTCTGCTTCGGAGATATATACCAGAGCTTCTTGACTGTCTGTAACATTAAATACAAAAATAACGTTACATTTAGTTATGTTAATCATTAGTTATAGCCGCGCTAGCCACCACTGGATAGTGATTTTTTCCAACCGCTGTAAAAATGCTTGAAAAAAACTACGAATACGGATTCCAAGGAAACCCATAGTCAATAAATATCACATTCATTATCATCACCATCACCGCAAGAATCACCATTCATTTTAGCCACCACCATACAGTAATATCACCTAATATCACCACCACTACCATCATCACCACCACCACACCTTCATCACCATCATCACCATGACGATCATCAGGAAGATGATGATCATCTATAATGATAATTATGATGATGATTTCCATTATCATCATATGATGAGGCCAAAAAAAAAATATGTGGGTTTCCGGTTTCTTCTTATAAAAACTTAGGTAGGGTAGGTCGGTTTTAACTTTTTTTTTTAAACTTTTTTTTTTAATTTTCCGAATAAGCGGACGCCATTTTGTTTAGTCAGTG